GAGTCCCTGGGACGAGTGCTAGATAGTGCTCCATCAGGGGACTCCATTGTCCTGCTGGGGGACTTCAATGCTCACGTGGGCAATGGCAGCTTGACCTGGAGGGGTGTGATTGGGAGCAACGTCCCGCCTGATCTGAACTTGAGCGGTGTTTTGTTATTGGACTTCTGTGCAAGCCGCAGTTTGGCCATAACGAACACCATGTTCGATCATAAGGATGCTCATCGGTACACTTGGTACCAGGGCAGCCTAGGTCACAGGTCGATGATAGACTTTGTAGTCGTATCATCTGACCTGCGGCCGTATGTTTTGGACACCCGAGTGAAGAGAGGGGCGGAGCTGTCAACTGATCACCACCTGGTGGTGAGTTGGATCAGATGGCAGGGGAAGATGCCGCGTAGACCTGGCAGACCCAAACGCATAGTGAGGGTCTGCTGGGAACGCCTGGCAGAAGAACCTGTCAAGACGGTCTTAAACTCCCACCTCCGGCAGAGCTTTGACCACGTCCCGAGAGCAGTGGGGGACATTGACTCCGAGTGGGCCTTGTTCCGCTCTGCGATTGTCGAGGCGGCTGTTGCTAGCTGTGGTCGCAAGGTGGCCGGTGCCAGGCGTGGTGGCAACCCCCGTACCCGCTGGTGGACACCAGAGGTTCGGGGAGCCGTCAGGCTGAAGAAGGAGGCCAACAGGGCGTGGCTGGTCTGTGGGTCTCCGGAGGCAGCAGACGGGTACCGGATAGCCAAGCGGGGTGCAGCAGTGGCAGTTGCTGAGGCAAAATCTCGGGCATGGGAGGAGTTTGGTGAGGCCATGGAGAAAGATCGGTCGGCTCCAAAGAGGTTCTGTCAAAATGTCCGGCACCTCAGGAGAGGAAGGCAGCAACTCGCTCACACCGTTTACAGTGGGGATGGGGAGCTGCTGACGTCAACTGGGGCTGTAGTTGGGCGGTGGAAGGAAAACTTTGAGGAGCTCCTCAATCCCACCAATGCGCATTCCGAGGAGGAACCAGAGCCGGGAGACCTGGGGATGGACTGTCCCAGTGTTTGCTGGGACATTACAGCAGATTAAGCCAAACACTTTACAAAATATACATGCAAAACTATTCTCATTCACTGGAAGTTTAATCTTTTTATTTATTCACTGTTTGTACATTTTAATATTCAAATATGGTGTTGACAAGTCTATGTACATTGTGCGGCTGTGCTTTGGAGGACTTTGTTTACACCAACACTTTTTTTCCTGTGTGCTTGTTTTCTGCCGACAGGCCAAAGCAGCTGGTGGCTAATGACTCTACACTTGAGGGGACAGACTTGTTTGTTTCTCGGAGACAACTCCAACACAACTCTATCTTTGCTATTGTAGCCCTTGATTGTGGAAAGATTAATTTACTCGTAACCAGCTGGTATGCTCATCTGAGATCAGTGTGTGAAGATGAACATTAATTACTGCTTTGGGTTAAACGTGTTACTGCCTAATTAGTTTACTGGTTCTAAATGGTTTTATCAGAGACCAGAGGTAGCAGTGATTAAACAGACACAAACAAAGTGGCCGTGCTGTAACAGTTAATAGCTTGTTCATGCGGGGAGATCATAAATGACTGTTTTATACAGCTTCACAGCTATTAAATTTGTCTTTCCTGTGGAGTGTCGTAAACTCAGCTACAGGTTTTATTAAGTTATTTTGTTGAGCTGTTAATAATCAAATAAAGCCAACCTCTACATTTTCATTGGAAAAGATGTTTATAAGCCTATTTAGCCCGTCCAGCGGTGACTACAGTGCTTGTGAACATTTGATGCATTTTCAACAGAAACTAACATGATGTTTTAAGACTTGACTAATTTTTCCATTTGAAAGTCACCAAATGTTCACCCTGGACCCAGAGGCGCCTCCAGAAAATTTTGATGGGGTGGCCAGATGGGGCCAAATAAATTTTTGGGGTGGCACACCAAATTGGTCCTTGTGGTAAACTGTGGGAGAGTTTAGCCTGTGGCGATGTACTGCATTGTTCCTTTGTTCGTTTTAATTAAACAAATAAATAAATAATATACGCATCCAAAACATTTAGCTTAAATTTTACAAACGCAAACATTTCAGAAAATATATTTCAGTTGTTTAAAATGTTATTTCAAATGTTGTTTAAACATGTATTTTTTAGGTTAATTCACCTGTTGCTGAGTTAAAACAAAAAAAAAAACTATGAAATTTAAAACTTTTTTGAAAATGGTGAGCAGAAGCAACATATGTATTTTTTATTCTTTACTCGTTAATTGTATTATTTTTATTTTGTTTTACAATTATATCTTGAATAAAGAAGACCAATTTATGGTTTGACTGAACATTAATATGATTTATTAACACTGGCTTTTCCTGGGGAGGGGGCAGCAATTTTCCAGGGGTGGCCATGACCACCCCTGGCCACCCCTTGGGGGCGCCCTTGTCTGGACCCAATGATTATACGTTTTTAGAAACACTACAGAAGCTACATTTGCAAGTCCAATACAGATAAAAACACTGGAGCTTGAATTTTTATCACATTCTCTGCATTTAAACCTTTTCAGCAAACACATTTGCAGTAAATCCGTGTAACTGATTCCACAAGGGACTGCTGTAGTTACGGGCCTCTGGATTTTCTAAGGAGAAAGTAGTTGAAATTGAGGTGTAAACGTTGGTTTTCCTGAATTGGAATGTTTATTATGTGAAGTGCCTTGAGACGACTCTTGTCGTGATTTGGCGCTATATAAATAAACTTGAATTGAATTGAATTGGTTGGGAAATGATTTGCACACATTTCATCGTTGTACTTTTCTGGGGTTTAAAAATACAAATTTAGATTTGTAAAAAACCTAAAAGTGGTGCCTTTCAGCCCGAAAGCTGCAATGGCAAATTTGGAAAACAAATTGGCTCAAAACATTTTTTCCAAGCCATTCCAACTGAGTATAGAACTTTCTCCACCTGAGCTTGAGATCAGTGGACTCAGTGGTCTCCTTCAAAAAGCAGCTGAAACCTCACCTGCTCAGGCTTTGGTGTGACCTTCATCACCACCTTCTCCTTATTCTGCTCGTTCTACTTATTCTGCCTTTCACCGCAATCCATTGATTTCCCTCTTTCCTATTCGTTTTCTCTCCCTTTCCTTACATTATTACTTTTTAATCACAATTTTTTCTCTTTTGAAACATATTTTTTTATATTTTAATTGATTTTTGTTTGTTTGTTTGTTTGTTTGTGAAGCACCTGGTGATTTTTATCTTGAGAGGCGCTATACAAAAGATTGTTTTCTTTCTTTCTATAGCTATCAATATGTCGTTGATATTTAACCCCTTAAGCCCTAGGCCTATTTTGAAGCCTGTTCCTCGAAAAATGGTAAAAATGGTATTTAATTGTAAAAATATTTTAGATAGCCTTGTCGTGCTGGGTTTGCTGATTAATTTGATGGGAATTATTACTATTTCTTCTGTAGTGAGAGTTTTTTTTTGCCCTGTTAAGGAACTAACATTACAGGGTCCCCCACCTGGGGGACGGGGACCCTAGTTAAAGAAAAAGTGATTCTCTCACATTTGGCTAAAACGTCCACCGATAACACGTTTTGGACCGTCCGGTTGTTGGTCTCAACAAACCGCTGCACTACTACACTTCCATGAGTCCTCCATTCATTACACACCTACATATTTAGCAACAGAACACCTCTGGTGTGACAGCAGGAGAAACAGCCAGCTGCTACCACTTCAACTTTAGTACGAGCTACTAGAGTCCCATAAAGAAAAACACCATTTGAATTCACAGACAACAAAAGACATTTGGACCTAGAGAAAAGCGACTGGTGTTTAGCGCTCTCTCGTTTCCTCTGGCAATGTTGGTTTCCTGTTCCGGCAGAAGCATCTCGGTGAAGATACCACGGGGGGGGGGGGGGGGGGGGGGTGTTTGCGTTTAAAACGCAGCTCATTTGCAGATTTGTTACAGTGGCTTTAACTGTCCTTTGTGCTTTTACAAGCCGAAGTTGCACCATCGTTCTGCACAGCAGACTCCTGAAAAACACGAGCAAGAAAATATCTTGTTGAACAGTGAAAACACAAATGACTTAATTTCTGCACATACATAAACATAATAAGAAATCCATTATAATGATAAATGATAGTACACATCAGAAAAGGGTAGAAGGCCTTCTCCCGGTCAGAGATGATGTCCCGCAGCTATCTTGGGGTCTCTTTCACGAGTGAGGAAAAGACAGAGCACAGAGTTGACAGGCGGATTGGTGTGGTGTCTGCAGTAATGCGGGCTTTGTACCGGTCTGTCGTGGTGAAGAGAGAGCTGAGCTGGAAGGCAAGGTTCTCGATTTATCGGTTGATCCACATTCCTACCCTCACCTATGGTGACGAGCGTTGGGTAGTGACTGAAAGAACGAGATCGCTGGTACAAGCGGCCGAAATGAGTTTTCTCCACTGGGTGGCTGGGCCCTCCCTTAGAGGTAGGGTGAGAAGCTTGGTCATCCGGGAGGGGCTTGGAGTAGATTCGCTGCTCCTCTACGTTGAGAGAAGCCAGTTGAGGTGGCTCGTACATCTGGTCAGGATGCCTCCTGGACGCCTCCCTGGTGAAGTTTTCCAGGCACGTCCAACTGGGAGGAGACCCAAGGGAGGGAAGACCCAGGAAACGCTGGAAGGACTATGTCTCTTGGCAAGCCAGGGAACACCTTGGGATTCTCTCGGAAGAGCTGACCCAAGTAGCTGGGGAGAGGGAAGTCTGGGCGTCTCGCCTCAGGCTGCTGTGCCCACGACCCGACTCTGGATAAGCGGCTGAAAAAGGATGCATGGATGGACAATACACATCCTAATTAAGAGCATTATGCTACAATAATGTTCAGCACCCAAATTTGGATCTGTTGTGGCCATTGTGACATGTATCTACAATCGTATCTGGCTTTCTTTTGATGTCTGTTCTCCATTTTTAGACCCACAGTGGTTTAGAACCTCTTATTTAGGTTTCTTAAACCTCTGACCTTTTCTTTCTGTCAACAGGGACTGAAAGGATATCCTGGTCCTGCTGGTCTCCCAGGTGAACAGGTGAGCACCTCAACCCATCGTCTGACCCACACAACAAATCAGAACAAAGGGAGGTATTGAAGAACTTAAAAAAGGAAAAGCTGTGCATCGTGTTGCACTGCTGTGTATGTGGGTATTAATATATTTACTCAGCATGAAGACGAACTTGCATATGTACAGTCTTACTTATGAAATATGCATTATTTTTCTTATGGAAGGAACAAATATGAAAATGTCTAAAACACCTTTTTCAAGTAATTGTTTTCAGTTACTTTCTGTTTTCTATGCAGTGAAAAAATATTTAACAGAAAGACATTGCAGTTGGTAAAAAGCAGCCAGCATATCCCAGTTTTACTCCATCACTTATGTGTAGCTCACAAGATTTGTGGGAAACAGCAAGAGGTTTCTGGCCGAGGTACAAGTGGGTCAAATAGTTTGAACATTGTGGGTCAGACCTCCTACACATCCTCCTCCTCGCTCCTTCCTGAGACCAGACCTTGTGTAATATCTCACAGAGGAATGTCATGACACAAGCAAAGCTCTTCCTGTTGTTTTAAGTATTTTCTCAAGGTGGGGCTCTATTTTAGGGACTATAACATCTCAAGGTGTTGCATAAGGGCACAGTTGGTCGCAATGTTGTCTTGCAGTGAGAAGGTTGCAGGTTCAAGTCCTGGTTTCCCCATGCAGGTGTGGGTTTCCGGGTACTCCATCTTCCTCCCTAAAGCTAAACTATGCATGTTAGGTTAATTGGAGTGTTTAAATTGCCCTTAGTGGTGAGTGATTGTGTCTGTTTGGCCGCGTGATGGACTGGCCATTTGTCCCCCCCCCCCCCCGCCACTTGACTAGCCGTAGTTGGACAACGAGGGCAATCCCAGTGAGGAAACGTTTCAGATGATGGGCAGATAAATTGACTCCACAAGTATTTATTAACAACACATTCTATTTTCCTCTGGATACAAATAACCAAGAAGACAGGACTTGGTAGTTTAGCATACAGAATTGGTAAATATCTGGAATATGTAGTATTAAGTGGTTTGTACAAGAAACTAAGGTTTGGATCATTGTTTTTTAAAGGGTGACTTTGCAACTTTTTCATAGTTTTAAATAATTTTCTTGAGCCATGTCCCTCAGAAACCCACCACCCTCTGTGGCCAGAATACGGCATTTGCAACTTCAGAGTGCCAGTCTGGTCTGTTGGACTTAGAAAAAAATGGAGCTGACATACCTGGTGCTGCAGTCTGATTCCAGTATGTTTTCTGCATGTTTTAGATCATGAACACAGCTGATTGTTTTTAGTGATGAATCACTCCTGTTGATACTAGAGAAATATGGCTGGGAGACATTTCAGCAGTTAGGCCAAGGTGTTAAAAAGACCAACATATAGCGAGAAGATAAGTTTCGCTTTCAGTTCTACTTAATGGACACTAGGGGGTGCTAAAACCAAGCCAAAACTGCCTAGTCTCCCATTAAGGCTAGATAATTGCCTTTCATTGAAACCAGACATTATTCAACACATTACCACCCCAGTTTTGACTGATGGACTTAACATGGAATAAACTATTTGCTTTTACTAATTTTAACTATGAGCATTCAAATACATTCACTCTGTATTGTGAGTGCATTATCACATGGTCGGTGGTTGTGCAAAACAGGCTGTAAACAAAGAATGCTTTTAAAAATCAAAGTGTTACTCCTATATTTTCTTCAATCAATGTTTGTTGTGACTTCCTCTTTTCTTCAGAACAGCATCATTTAAGTTCTAGGTACAGTTGAACCCGGCTGTTGAAGGAACTAGGCTTGTAGGTTGTTTCAAGCATCTTCTAGAACAGAATTAGGATTCTTCATGTCCTTCTGTCTCTTCATGTAATCCCGACACACACCATGATGTTGGGATCAGGAATCTGTGACGGCCAGACCATCACTTTCAGAACTTTTGTTCTTCTTTATGCTGAAAACAATTCTTATTGTCTTGGCTGTATGTTTGGGGTCAGTTACTTTGCATTTTGTAAATGGATAAACATAAACAATAATTTTCTATATTTCTGAAAGCATTTTCAGACCTGTCTAAACTTTTGCACCATGCTGTATTTGTTTGAGTTGTAAGTTTAGGATATAGTGATGCGTTTTCCTTAAGAACCTTAAGAAGAGGTACACATAGTGTTAACGACAAAAGGGGTCCAAACACAAAGCCTTGTGGTACACCTCAGTTGACTGGGGCTTCAAAAGCACTATGGCTGAGATAATTAAATTTGTTAAAAGGCTTAAAAATAAATATTTTAAGTAGCACTTTACAATATTTGAGAACAGAAGTAGCTCAGGAGGTAGAGCAAGCTGTCCAGTAATCATGAGGTTGTAGGCAATCCCGGCTCCGCCCTGAGAATGCTGCTGTTGTGTCCTTGGGCAAGACATGCAATCCATCTTGCATGCTGGTGGTGGTCAGAGGGACTGGTGACAGGCCTCACCTCTGTCAGTGTGCCCCAGAGCAGCTGTGGCTACAATGTAGCTCATCACCATTTTATTGTTGCTAGTTCCTGATAAATGATGTAATTTTCTGCACGTCTTTACAAATGAACTTTGTTTGGATGTTCTTCTACAGATCATGTCATATTAAGCATTCCTTTCTGAGGGATGCATTTGGTTTGCTCTCACCACAAGGAAAGGAATGACTCATATAACATGTGCCTTGATGAGGATGAAGGTACTAAAGCAAAACGGTTCCCATAGTAGTCGTACCAGCGTGTGGCCTGACCACAATGTAAAAGCACTTACTGTCAGAAAAGTGGAACGGTTAGGGTAGCGATGTCTGTAGCGGCGCCTTTTCCTTAGGCAGCACTGACTCCAGTAAACAAAAGGTTTTTATTAAAAGGCTGGGAGGTTTTAATGTTTATGTGGGATCATATAAAAACATCATAATCATAAATACAATGCTTGCTATTGTCTGCCCTGCTTTCCTGCAATCTTTGAGTTTCATTAGAAGCCAGCTGTGCATAAAAATTCTTCATAAAGAAAATGCCCTCCATTCCTTTATTAGTTAATTCCTTCTTCATTTTCTGTCCTGTCGTAATTCTTCTTCTGTTGTCGTCGTGATTTCTGTGGTGTCTTTGTTCCCACAGGGCCGACGTGGAGATGAAGGAAGCCCCGGGGCCAAAGGCTATCCTGGCAGGCAGGTGCAGTACATCTAGTGTTGAGGTGGTGATTGAGTAGCCCCCCCCACACACACACACAAGAGAAAAGGAAACATACCCAGATATTCTGCTAAATATTGAGTTTTAAATGCAGAATTAGTTGCAGGTTTCCTGCACTTTTAGGACATTTTCAAACAATTATTTGTGCATAAAAAAGAGTCTTAGCTGATTTTTATTCTGCAGCTGAATATGGGGAAGTTTTATCTGAAACATTTAGATAATTTTGTGTTTGGAATTCAGACGTGTGTGTCAAAAGGTTTCCGTATCGCCACCCTGAATAAATGTGTGCCTAATGCTGCTGCTTCTGTGTCCTGACCAACTGCGTGCATCATTCCTCGCCTCGCGCTAAGAATCCTTTACTATAATAAGTCAAAGCTGAGAGGAAGATGATACTCGTGTGTTTATAATCTGTTCTGTCTCAGCTTTTAGAGGAATCCAACTTTAAAAGCAGCTGGATGACTTCACTTACTTTGCCTGTTCTTGAATGTTTAAGATGCAGGAGTTCAGAAACTTGCCTCAGATCCTCGTAGACGCTCAGGGAAGCGTACTGGATTAGGTTTTAGCTCCCCCTACCACTTTTGAGTGGATTGTGAGTCACTTTGTCTGCATGCTTATGCCAAGATGCTGCTACTATTTAAGAACGTTTCTCCAGAGCTAAGAGATTTAGTTTTATTTTTTTTCCTGATGGATTAACTGTTAATGTCTCTGAGAAATGAGAGAATAGCAGTACACAGAACTCTGTAAATCACAGCCATGATGCTAATTTACAAAACTAGACACTTGTTCCTAAGTATTACACCTTAACCTGTAACACTTTAAAGAATGATGTTATTCTGTTCTGGTGTTTATAATGAATATTCTGTTATGGTTTACAGGGTTTACCTGGACCAGTAGGACGAATGGGGCCAAAAGGAATTAGGGTAAGTAGGCTTTTATTGTTTTGTGGGTTTAGAAAATTAAATAGTTGGAATAGATATTATTTTCAAGGTTAAACACTGACTTTGCATGCTAATATGTTTGTAATTTTAAATGTTTTTTTTTCTCTGACCTAGAAAAGGAGAAGATTTATCTGTATAATATTAGAATTTGTGCTTCATTAAAGAAACTGATTAGACCGAACCAAGGCAGGAACGGACCGACACCATCTCCCCCGGCTCACACTTTAGAACGACCAGTGTGGTTTTCTTTCTTTAGATTGTGTTTTTGATGTCAGATCATAAAAGTGTTTGTCTCTGTTGAAGAATAAACCCTAATCCCATCGAATGGAGGTTGTAGGTTTAATGCCACCGTCGTTTCTGCTCAGCCAGTTTTGCACAGAGACCTTCAGAGCTCCCTGATGTGGGGGTATGTGCCCTTGGACTACATCGTGGAAGCCAGCACCATGCAGTCCATGGGCATATACACTTACCTCAAGGTTTTACTCTTCAAGACCATGCCGCCGTAACAAACATCCCAGCAGAACTGTAACAGATCACAGCTTTTAACGGATTCTTCTTGTTCTGTTGGCTTCTCACAGTTCTGGACCATGTCAGCCATCTTTCCTTATTCTCATTTCTCCTTTCAGTCTATGTGTGCTTTATCTTTTCCACTGCTCCATTTTTCATTCCTCTCTACAGGGTCACATTGGCATCCCTGGGCTTTTTGGCTTACCTGGTCCTGATGGGGAGAGAGTGAGTATTACTGGCTGTGGAAGTAAATGCCTGAAGCGTTTCATTGTGGCTGTCCAAAGGGCCAAAAGAACAAAATAGGAGTTTTATTGTTGCTGTGATGAAACTCTGGAGGCAGATTTCACCAAATCAGTGTGAGGTTCTTTAAATAGAGCTGGACTGGGTTCTACGCCACAGCCCACATACTGTCCAGCATAGTGCCAAGTGTTGAGGATGCTTCTCATTTCACTTATACTGATATAGAATTCAAGAGAGGCTTTGAGTGATTGGATCAGACCAAGTCGACCCACATTACTCCACCTTTCAGGACATTTATTAACTGAACCAACAGAATAATTTCACATCAAAAGAATCTTGGAGGCTGTTTAGTACATTTTCATTATTGCCTAAATCCCCATTCACACCAGAGGATGTTTAAATGTTTTGTTCTTATTTAGTTTTATTTAACCAGGCAGGTCCCACTGAGATTTAAAACCTCATTTTCAAGGGAGACCTGGCCAAGAGGCAGCAAAAGACAGTCACCAAATTACTCACTTACACAATTAAACTTATGTAGAAAATGATAGAAGAAATTACAACACAGGGAGTCTGTGTCAAGTATTCTCAGTCTAGTTTTAAATGTATTCAAGGAGAAAAGCTCGGTTAGTTTCCAGTTTTCCTGTAATCCCAACTCTAACCCTGTAATCTGTTCCACGAAGAAGGAGCAGAGTGAAGGAAAGCCCCTTTTCCCAGTCATGTGTGAGGAAATAGAATAGACTTCATTAATCCCATAGTTGTTACAGCAGCTTAGTGAACGTGGGACACAAATAACGGATCATTTGGATGCAGACTATGAGAAGTTAAACTGCTCCGTGAGATTATGTTACAGATGTAGTTGTAGTCCAAGCACTACTTTTATAAATGAAGGTGTACCAATGTCCCAACCTCCTGGTGGACAAAGAAGGCCATCTCACTGGAGGATATAATTCACAATGATGGGTCTACAGTTAGTAATGAACCTCAGCGAGGCACGATAAACCACATCTTTGAGGACTTCAGATACAAAAGATCCCCATAATCCAGAAAAGACAAAAATATTGCAGCAACTAGCAATTTTCACCTCAGATAGTTGGCCGATTTTCAAAGCATGAGGCCAGTCAAGCATGGTGGTGAAAGTAGTCATGGAAATACAGTTTAGGCCATCCAGTGTGTGGTCTACACCAACTTTGTGATACAATTTGCACCCCACTGCTCGTGTAAGGCAAAGTAAAGATGGGTAAAATGCAGATTAAACATGTCCCCAAGTGGATCAGAAAAGTATATGAAAAAAAAAACTTAGCAAGTACTACAAGCAAAGTGTTTTAACTCAGACATTCCCTGCTCAGACGCGAAATCCCATGAGATAAAACGTGACTTTGAAGTTAATAAACGTGGGGGAGGAGGAATATACTGCTCACTACCGTGACCAATGTCTGATTGGTCATACTCAACAGTTGGCACACCTCAAACTCAGACCAAGACAATCCAACATGGTAAATAATCTTGATTCATGATCGGAGTGGTCTGGACGTGCTTTCGAACAGAGCCGAGCGCTTTAACACACCACACATGACAGGAATATCTGTTAAGATAATCTTTAGAGCCAATATGGTAATGATGTAAAACCGTAAGGTTATTGGAAGGGACTGGGGAAGGTATAGGAAAATCAACATCCTGCCTTGTGAACTGAGTTTAAAAATGTTGGTTACAGAAAACTTTTGTTTCCTGAACTTTTTCAAAACACCAGATTGTGCTTAAGATGAAAAATCTGAAAAATGCTGGTGATTTGGAATTTGATTTTGTTTCTTTAGGGAACTGAAGATGAAAACATGACTTTATTCATTGCATTCACTTGCTGTTTTTTTGGTGTGTAAGACTTTTAATCTGCCGTATTTGTTCCTTATACATCCTGCTGTCTGCACAGTTCTCATGGGTGCTTGAAATCCTCGAAACTCTCTACTTGAGATTTTGAAACTGCTTTTATTTTAGTTACAGCTGTTTAAAGTGGCCTGTGAAGCTGCTTAGTCTTTAAAAAAATGGGTTAATTCTTTTGGCCTATTATAATATTACACTTGTAATCAATATTATCATTTATACATTACTGTTACCTCAACTCTTCATACCATGAATGAACAAAACAGTAAATAATTATTATAATAATTATATATATATATTCCTTTCTTGGTGATGATCATAAAGTGGGGATGAGACAAGGAAGGAAAAATGTTATTTACCATAAATTATAATATATATATAATCTGTTCATATGTGTATAAATCATCATATATAGGAAAATCTTGAGGTAACACTTTACAATAAGGGTCCCTTTATTAACATTACTTAGTCAATTATTAAGCATTAATAAACCACTAAATAAAGTGTTAACAACTGCTTTTATGCATTACATAGCATTACTAAACGTAGTATTTAATGCATTATTAAGCAGTTACCTAAAGTCTATTACTGAACCTTAGTTAATGCAGTACTAAGCTTTAAATAACACTTGCATTATTTAATTACTTTGCAACATGTGTGTTAATTACCATGTTAGTTAATGTGTTAATTAACCCTTAATAATCATTAAAGTTGTCATTTAATATGGTTGTGTATTTGCAGCGAATAAGCAATAAATAACAGCCAACTAATGCATCCTCTTATTCTACCCCTGCACTTTGGATGTCACTTGGATGGGCATTAATAAACAATTGATTACTGTCGTACTAATGCTGTACTGTGTTTGTCATCAGGAAGCCCTTACCTGACCTTAGGTAAGGTAAAAACATTGATCCCATTTGGAAACACTTTCTAAATAGACTCCTAAGCATTACTTAACCATAAATAATCTTCAATAAATTATCCATCTATTAACACTTTCTAAATGCTTAATAGATGCCTAAGCATTACTTAAACATTACCTAATCATAACTAATGATTATTGAATGAATTTTGGACCCTTGTTGTAAAGTGTAAACATGTATCTCTTAGGAAACGCTGTCTAAATGCCCAATAGACTCATAAGCATTACTTAAGCACTACCTAACCGTAGTTAAACATTACCTAACCATAGTTAAACATTAGCTAACCGTAGTTAAACATTACCTAACCATAGTTAAACATTAGCTAACCGTAGTTAAACATTACCTAACCATAGTTAAACATGACCAAATGAACTTTTGACCCTTATTGTAAAGTGTAAATGGACCCTTAGGTTCAGTAATAGACTTTAGGTAACTGCTTAATAATGCATTAAAGAATATATTTAGTAATGCATGTATTAGCTATGTAATGCATAAAAGCAGTTGTTAACACTTTATTTAATGGTTTATTAATGCTTAATAATACACTAAGTAATGTTAATAAAGGGACCCTTATTGTAAAGTGTTACCAATCTTGGAAGCGAGCTTTCCAAGTGCTTACATTTGGAATTAGAAAGGGTGGAAGAACGGTGTGTCTGACCACCTCTTTTTCCTCTCTTTTTAGGGAATTCCAGGCGTGCATGGGAAGAAGGGCAAGCTGGGTAGGCCGGTAAAGTTTTCTCTCAACATACTTCTCAGACAATAAGGTGGTCTCATAGCAGCAGTTGTGTTTGCTGATATTTTGCAATTGAGACTATGCAGATATGATTATTGGAACCAATACATGACATCACAAATGTTACGTTTTGTAGTCAATCAATCAATCAATCAATTTTATTTGTAGAGCACCTTCCACAACGTTATCAGAAGCCCAAGGTGCTGAACAGCATCATCATAAAAACATTCCCAGTACCTGGGCATAAAAGCAAGATAAAAACATAAAATCATAAAATATCAAGCAAACAATATTACAAATACAGAGATAACGGAATAAGACTAATCAATTAAAAAAAATGGTGGACAAAATAAGATCAAGCATCCTGATCAAAAGAAGTATTAAAAACCTAACTAAACCTAATTTAAACAAGGGTTAGGGTTAGGACCTTATAAGTATTCACACCCCATCCCGTTCACTCAGATCTTCTTCTTCCATCCATCTTGCGGTTCCTTCTGCCCGTCTCGCTACCACGGGGAGCAGAGCTTTCAGCCGCTCTGCTCCCCGTCTCTGGAACTCACTTCCCCCAGACATCAGGAACATCGACAGTTTCACCCTTTTCAAAACAAAACTCAAAACACACATGTTTAAATCTGCCTACAACCTCTGATTTTATTGAACTGTTTCTCTCTTTGTTTTTTTTTTCTTGTTTGGGTTTTATTGTTGTTTTATTGTATTTTATTAAGTGTTTTCTGTCAAGTGACCTTGGGTGTTCTGAAAGGCGCTTTTAAATAAAATATATTATTATTATTATAAAAACCATAATGTCAGGGCATTTCAATGAACCCTAGCGCTGAAAAACAATCAAATAAAAATGAGTCTTTAGACGAGACTTAAAGACTGGAATGTACGGTGCCTGCCTAATGCTCAGTGGCAATTCATTCCACAGAGTTGGAGCCAAAACAGAAAAAGCACGATAACCCCTCGATCAATATTTCCACCGGGGGACCACCAGAAGTTCCTGCTCGGCTAAGCAAAAAGACAGAGACGGAGCATACCCGTGCAAAAGTGCAGTAATGTACGAGGGGGCACTGCCCTGGAGGGCTTTATAAACGAGAGTTAAGATTTAAAATTTAGCTCGATATTGCACCGGGAGCCAGTGCAGAGCATACAGCACTGGTGTAATGTGATCTCAAAATCTAGTACCTGTCAGGAACCTAGCCACTGAGTTCTGCACAAACTGGAGCCGTGCAGCCGTGCACTGGGTCAGACCGGCATACAGAGCGTTGCAGTAGTCCAGCTGGGACAGGACGAATGCATGCAACACAGACTCCAGATGAGCTCTGGACAGCAGAGGCCTGATCCCAGATAGTCATTTCAGGTTAAACAAACAGGACCTCACCACTGTATTTACAGGAGTGTCAAGATTAAGTGAGGAGTCCACTTTTATCCGCAAATTACTGACCATTTTCTTTCATAGGGGGTCAATGGGCCAAGGTCAATATCAGCACCAGAGCCATAGTCACAGTTGGTTTGTTTTGAGGTGTGAGTTCTTATTTCCTCTGTGATTAGTTTGCTGTGTGTGGCGTTAATCAGAAAGATTAGTGTTTTATACGGCGAGCTTTTCTCTGGGCTTGTAATGCATTAGACAGACATGATAATAAGATGTGTTACTTGTGGGGTCGGCTCTCTGGAGGCTTTTTACCCAGAGACGAAGGAAGTCTGTCATCATGGCCCATCCTTCCCGGCAAACATGGAAACTACTGATACTGCACATAAGCGCTTGTACAAACGGGATATTTTCCAGACTCGGACTGTTTGTACATGATTTCCTAAAGCTGTCATGGTTAGTGACATGTGCTGAGGTATAAAATTATCAGCCAGGTCATGAGGAAGTGAAAATGTGATTTTCTGATCAAAATAACCTAAATGACATTCATTTGGAAAACGTTAAAATCTCCTTTGAATTGATCTTGTTTTCCCTCGGTCTTCAAACACAGAACGACGTAGATCTTAGCTTCTTCTTTCTGCCATCTGTCACTCGTGTCCCCAACGCGCTCTCTTACTGAAGCCAGCTGTTAAGCTGTGATGTGGGCTGACCTTGGCGTGGTGACGAGCACGCGATGAGCGCGTGGCCTCGTGGCTGCAGCGCGCCTCTTGTTCTGCCTCTACAATGGAATTACGAGGCCAAAGCATAAAAAAGTAAGAGTCAGCAGTTTCTGAGCCAGGCAGCTTTATCCAGCCATTTAGGCACGTCTTTGGGGGTTTTGGTTTGCAGGCTGCTGAGCAGTCCTGCCAGCATACGCACGCAGAGACAGTCATCACTTGGAAACACTTGGAGCCTCGGAATTTCCTGCACATCTCCCAGGAATGGAAGCTCTGGGAGCAAACTTGATGGCGAGTTGCTTGGCTTTACAGAGCAAACTTCTGTTTGGGGAAACATTTTGTTGATCCCCAGTGTTTGGTGAAGCCACTTGACTGACAAATCGTAGGAAATGCATCCAACATCCGAGCGGGCATGTTGACTGTGTGAACAGGATAATGTCACTCGGTTCTCTCTCTGGTTACCTGATGACTGTTTGTGTGTGCGCTCAGGGCTTTCCTGGTGACTTTGGAGAGAGAGGACCTCCTGGCCCCGATGGCAACCCTGTAAGTGAAAATAAAAACAGATTTAATCAGATTTAGCTCATTTTACACAGGAGTGATTCCATTTTAGTGACGCATCATTTTGAATAATGAATAGCAACAGATACAGCGGGGTCGTTTTACCCTCACGCAGCAGCGGCTGTAAAACCAGGCCTTGTTACTCCCTCGCCCATCATAATGCACACTGATCGGAGGGCAGCAGCCTCACTCACCACTCCTCTTTCTCCACTTTGACCCCAACTGTTTGTGACTGACAAGGTCAGTGTTACACTAACACTGGCCGACTTCCAAGAGTCTCCACCAGACTGCATTTCTTCTCCCTGCAGAGGGAACAGGGGATGTTCCATGGGGCCAAATTCATCACATTTTATTCAAAGACAGACAGTGGAAGGGACAGGCAGGCCACCGTGTGCAGCTGTTTCTCCACTGTAGGAGAGGGGGTGCAGACCTGACATGTGGCTTTGGAGTAGATCACTTAGCAATAAGCCACTCCATGTCTAGTGCCAAGTCACTGACTTGCTAAAATTATCAGTGGAGTGGGGTCACTACCTTGTTATTGGATGAAAACGATGTTTATCAGCCAAAATGTTGGAGCACGCTGTATTAAAACATTTAGATCTATCTTATCACCTGTTCCTCCTCAGGGTGAGCTGGGAGCTCCTGGCCCGGGTGGAGTTACTGGCCTTATTGTGAGTATTGCATCCATTATGACAACATCTCATCAACTATGTCTTCCTCACAAAAAAATACAACTAAAGTTTAATAAAAATTCCTCTTTGACATTTAAAAGATACACATCCTGTTATTAAATACTTCACCTGTTTTGCAAATGCAACGCACATTAATACGTTGCTGTCTGGTGTCTAAATGTATGCACAATTTTAAAATGCACCTGAGCCATTGCTACACTGCAGTTTCCCCACTGAGGGACTAATAAAGGCGTTCTTATTCTTAAAAAAGTGACACATTTGGCACCACGTCATTATTTTAGCATTTTATATATTTAAAGCTCCTCGTCTCGGTCATAAACACTCTGTGGATTTAGTGTTTTGTGTGGTGGTTGTAGGGCGACCTGGGCCCTGTCGGTGTAATGGGGTCACCCGGACTTCCAGGACTCAAGGTAAAAAATGCTGTTTACTTGTTTGTTCTTATTTTGGGGAATAAAGAAATCAGAACATCAAAAATACACATCCTTGTTCACATTTTATTAAACATGTAAGTCTTGTTAAATATTCATGAATGAAATGACCTCAAATATTTTTCCATTTTATTTCAACTAATTAAAGGTACCAAACTTTTTTAGAGTTAGATCTTTATTTAAAGACCAAGTTCCCTTATAAACCATCTTTAGTTGATATCTTTTAAACATGATCGGTCACTCTGACTGAAAACAGACGGGGGAATGCTCGGATTAGAAAAGTCAGTGACAGCTGTGCTATATTGTCAAATTAGCATTCATGGACTCACCCACTTGGCTTGCGACATGGAAGGCTGTTGTTGATTTAGCATCCAGGAAAGAGCAGAGCGCGTCTCAGCTAGTAGAAGCTAACCGTTAGCATTAGCAACTCCACAACATGGCAGAACTCCTGCAGGCTTGTGTTATTTGTGGAGATAAAACATCAGCGTTACAAGGCAGAAGGAGTCAGTGGTAGAGTTGGATTGCTTGCAGCCAATCAGAGGCGAGATGTCAGATTGTTAGATTATCAGGAAGTAACACTCCAGATTCTGTTGTGTGCTGCTCACCTCTCACCTGACTCACGTCTTGTTCCAGAAACAGGAGCGCCAGAGCTTTTTAACCCACAGACAAGTATTGATTTGTACCAGAGACCGCTGGAGATGTGTCTGAAAAACTTGGTCTTTAAAGCCACTTTCATCTCGGGTGTCACGTGGTACACCTAACGGAGAAAAGCAGGTTCAGACACACACCCTGAAATGTACGTGTCCCAACCCACCTCAAGCATCAGCGATATGTAAATGTTGGTGCTAATGCTAACCACAGAGCAACGCTAGCCCTGAGCTACTGCTAACATCCTTTTGGAAGAGAGGAAAACAACATTTAAGAACGTTGGAGGCCTCGTGTTTCTGGATGTACCGAGAAGAGCTTGTCCTCTTCCTTGTTTATACGATGCGCCTATCAGGACTTCATTTGGAGCACCAACAACGTTTCAGATGCTAACGCTCAAAGAGCAGTTCCCTCAAATGTTGAAAAACGTTAATTTTTCGTGGCATTGTGAAAGGCGCTGTGGGATGTTTCGCTGCACTAATAAAGCCGAGGGCAAATTAAAACTCCTATGGGAGTCATTGTTGAACAAACTTACAGCGAGCCACTGAAGAGGGTCCAAACAGCCTTACGTTGCCCCAGAGCCACAGCTAGAAGACCGCTCAAGCAGAAGGAGAAACATGTTTTAAATAGTGCCTCATGATGACATCACATGGGACTTCACAGTAATTAGCATGGTCAGACTACCGTGTTTCAACAATTAACCATGTTTTTTATCCGTCTCACTTTCCTGTTTGATTTGTTTCTAAGGGAGTAGCTGGAAGTCCGGGAGGCGCAGGACTGAAAGGTGATGAGGTGATTTACGCATGGCTTTATCTAATTACTGACCTTCTGAAAAAAGTGCTTTACTTTTGACCGTTAATGTGAACGCTGTGTCTGCTTTACAAAAGGGGGATGTTGGGTTGCCAGGAGAACAGGGGGACCGTGGATTTAAGGGCGACAAGGTGGGTCTCATTCCTCCCAGTTAGACCAGTACCTTATCTCTGACTCCATCAGTATGTTGGTTTGCACCAAGTATTGAGACTTGTGATAAAGTGGCTCTTTATTTAGTACACCGTATGTGTTTTTCTTCTGGACACTGACAGATGTTTGGAAAGTCCAGTAGAAAATAAAAATAAAAAATCCCGAATTAAGGAATTGTCTTGCAAAGGACCGTGTGGTTTTAGTATACGTGTATATTTCCTGTACTCTGTCTTGTACTCAATGATGTTGTGGATTTTATATTTCAGGGCAGTCGGGGCTCACCTGGGTTGCCAGGTCCTCGTGGAAAACCTGGACCTCAGGTATTTCCTGTTATGTGTTCAAACACTGTAAATATGTGTAGAGAAGTTTCTAGCATGGCAGTCCTGTAGAAATCCAGCATTCAGAGGGTTAGGGTTAGGGTTAGGGTCAGGACCTTAGAGCAGGTGCAGGACCGGGTTAAGTGCAGCTCATTCTGATAAACTAGAATTCATTTAAAGATACATTCTCTATTTTTCGCTTTGGATAGATTTTTTAATGAAAACTCATTAAAATAGTTTTAAAAAGGGTAGATGTTTTAAATATCCACTAAAATGAAAACCTTTAAGGCTCCGACTCGTTTAGGTTCAAGAGGGTTGGGACAATTAACCTGGAAGGGCAGAGCAGAAATAAACTTCCTGTTTGATGATTGGAGCTGCAGGAGTTGGCTCTTGTGATCAAGTGTTCTAAATATGCCACACACACACACACACACACACACCCGCACGCACACACACACACACACACCCGCACGCACGCACGCACGCACACACACACACACAAAAGCATTTTCTTCTCTTTATATTTTTACTTTGACACTTTATTATGGTAAATGTCCCGTATTTGTACAGCACCTTCTTAGGGTTCTACAACCCCCCAAGGTGCTTCACAACACATGATGAGCTACCATGTAGCCACAGCTGCCCTGGGGCGCACTGACAGAGGCGAGGCTTGCCAAAAACAAGCACCACCAGTCCCTCCGACCGCCACCAGCAGGCGAGGCTGGTTTAGTGTCTTGCCCAAGGACACAATAGCAGCATTCTCTGGTCAAAGCCGGGATCGAACCTGCAACCTTCCAACTACTAGACAACCCCTCTACCTCCTGAGTTTCTGCTGTCCCTCATTATTAGTTAATGTTTTTTATTTGCCTTTTAAGTCCACAAGGGCAAATTTAATATGAATCTTTGGTTTTATTTAATTATTTTTCTTGTACAAAAACTCTCATGTTCTCTGTTCCTGTGTTTCAAGGGGACACCTGGGGAAATGGGCCCTGGTGGTATACCTGGCCCTCCTGGTTCAGAGGTAAGAATATTTATTTATTTATTTATTTATTTATTTATTGGTTTTATTTATTAAACTTTCTCAGGGCTTCCCGGGTGACATTGGCCCACCAGGACAAAATGGCCCAGAGGGTCCGAAGGTTAGCAGAATGACAAGAACTCATTCGTTTCATCAGAGATGAAAGAAACGTTCACTCTCACTGTTTCCATCCATAGGGGAAGCAAGGGCTAAGAGGTTTTCCCGGTCCTGCAGGAAAACCTGGACCTCAGGTGGGATTAACCTTACTCATTCAGGAAACAAGGTGAATTTAAATAATTAGTTTTTTTATACATCTTTTCCTCAGGGGGATGAGGGACCAGTTGGACCAGCAGGACCCATTGGACCCGAGGTGAGCACTGATTGGATAAGCTCCTACGTCTCAATACTCGTTAGAAAATGAAATGACTCGTGTGGGATTCTCTCTCATACACACACACACACACACACACACACACACACACACACACACACACACACACACACACACACACACACACACACACACACACACACACACACACACACACACACACACACACACACACACACACACACACACACACACACACTCATAAACAAAAACATTTTAAGAGGAGGTTCACTGAGCGCAGTCATTCTGAGTTTCACATGCATGCAGCCCTCGTTTCCTGCACTGGCTGCAGAAGGAAAATAGACGGGGAGATGCTCGGGTCAGAAAAAGCCAGCGTCTTCTACGTCACAGGGAGCATTGGCTTTCATGGCCTCGTCCATCTTGGAAAACTCATTTCGGCCGCTTGTATCCGTGATCTCGTTCTTTCGGTCACTACCCAAAGCTCATGACCATAGGTGAGGGTAAGAACGTAGATCGACCGGTAAATCGAGAGCTTCGCCTTCTGACTCAGCTCTCTCTTCACCACGACAGACCGGTACAACGCCCGCATCACTGCAGATGCAGCACCAATCCACCTATCGAGCTCACGCTCCAGTTTCCCCTCACTCGTGAACAAGACCCCGAGATACTTAAACTCCTCCAGAAAAAACCTGAAATGCTGGAAACTAGAAATACTCGGAACGAGAAATCGGGGGGCTACGGACACGCTGACAGACAACAATGGACCAACAAACACTGGGACAAGGCAGGGTTATGTACACATGGGCGGGGTGAGTAAGGGGTTTGGGCACAGGTGAGACTAATAACTGAGAGGAGGAGCAGAATGGGGCAGGAGAGGAAAACACAAAACGCTACAGGGAGAAACAACCTAGACAACTAAAGAGAGGTGAACTGATAAACCTGAAATTAGAAACACCCGGGGTTAAATATAAGAGACCAGAACCAAAGGAAGATGAGATCTAATACAGGGGATCTTAATACTGAAAAAGGGTGAGAGACTAGGGGGGACATGAGGGTGGCCCGGAGGGGGCTGGGGACCACAGGGACACGGAACATGACTAAATCAATAATGTTCAGGGTGTGTGAGATTATTTAAAACTGCCATTTCGATAAACTGTTATTAAACACTTTATTTCCAGCGCAGCGTTTTATTTAGTTATTTTTTTCAGAGTTTGACTTCAGACTGTCTCTGAAAACACAAGAATAACTAAACACAGACACACAGGACCAGAAGCCTTCTAACGAGTCTTAAGAAGGCTTTGATGCTGGAAAGAGCTCGTTGTTTCTTCAGATTATGAACTTTCCTAAAGCCACATGTTTTGTTTTGAAGTTTCTGAGCAGAAGCCTGATAAGGGACAGCTAACGGACACCTTTTACAGGAGTTCAGTATTAATTCTGTACACTTCTGTTCAGGGCAGACCTGGGAGGCAGGGATTCTCTGGACCGACGGGCCCAGATGGACCCAAGGTCAGACTTTTGTACCTTCACCGCCGAACCTCTGTCATCCTTAAACCAACATCCCTCACTGGCTCTTTCATGACAATGCATCATCTGAATGTGTGTAAATTAGATGTTAATTCTCTGCTGCCTCAGGGGAACCGACTTCTAAGCCCATTTCAGCTGAACTGAAAAAAACCAACTGCCTGCATAAGTTTGTGAAATGCTAATTTAGCTGCTTCGCTGCAGGGCGAGACGGGGATGGCTGGCGAGGTCGGGAAGCTTGGCGAGAAGGTAAAGGCTTTTCTCTCATTTATGTTTGACGCTCGCTCTGTTTCTGTGTTTTGTTGGAACCACAGAGACGAGCAGACACTAATGAGAGGCCGTTAATGACGGCCACAGATCGTAGGAAATGCAGCCGTGTGTTTTCTCTCCTTTAGGGACTTCCGGGTTTTATCGGGCCTGGCGGAGAGATGGGGATCACTGGAGGAAAGGTTTGACAATGTCGTTCTGTCCTCCTTTCCAAGTGTCACTTTGGTGTTGAAAGGGTCACACCAGCAATATGGGACTGATGAGGAAATGTATTGTTTCTCAGGGTGATCGAGGAAAAACGGGTGCTCCCGGACCTCCGGGCGATCCAGGGCCAACGGTAAGGAGGAATTCTGGACCCCGGCTTTTGTAGCGGATGAACAAACGGGGATGTAAATAGTTTAAAAACACTGATAATAAACATTTAAATCCTTTAGCTTGGATGACGACACACATTTGCTGTGGAGTTGTTTTGATAAGCTTCTGCGATGTCACAAGATGGAGCATGATGGGTGCATCTTAACCTGAGGCGCCATGACTCTGGAACAGGCTCCATCAGGACTCAGACCCGTTTCTAATAATGCGTTGGACGGTTCTGAACCCAGTTTTTGTTTTTTCTGCTTGGTGCATGCCAATGATCTGACCCTTTTCAAACAGAAACATCTTTTCCACGACCACCAGATGCGTCGTTCCACCTGGTTGTTTGAGAAGCAACTCAGTGCACCAGTTGGGGTTAAGTAACCCATGCAGTCATTAACCATTAGGACACGGTTTCTCAACCCAGATCTTTGGGATTCCCCGTCCTGCAGGTTTTCCAAGTTTCTGCTTCAACACACCTGATTAACATGCTTGCATGTGCATCCTCAAGAGGACATCAAGTGCTGCAGATGGCTGTTAATCACTCATTTATCCAAGTCAGGTGTGTGGCAGCAGGCAAACACAGGTGTTTGACAGGGCGACATGGAAAACATGCAGGACATCGGGTCCCGAGGCCCAGGGTTAACTCCAGGTAGCACTGAACATGCCAATGACTCGTCCATGAGAAATGTCGCCAGGTCTGCATCTGTTCCACATTCGAGTCAAACGCTGAGATCCTTCCACCGTTGAAAAGCAGGTCCAAGCTAAATTCTTTGCTGGACGTTGAGGCGATCTTTAGTAAGTTTAGCATTTGGGCTTTTGTCCGTCTTCAAGTAAACGCTGGCAGTCAAGAGTCAGCACTGCTGGTGGCTGTGAAGGCAGTGAAGCTGCTCCACCATTAGCTGTATCGTTGTAACGTTGTCTGAAAAGGCCACCATGTCTAGGTTTTTCTACAAACACACTCACACACACTCAGTGATTGACATCTGTGCGCAGATGGCTGTCTAGATCTATTGGCTGATGCTGAACAGTTGACGTAATCCGAACAGAACAAATTCAGTGTTTTGTGTAAAACTAAGGTAGCAGGATACAACTGCTCGTCATACCAGACACTGAGAAGAGTTGGTGAATGGCTGTGAGCTGAGCTTCCAATCCGTCTTCCAGGATGACAGACGGAGCGTTAAATGAGGAGACAACCCCTATAAATCCGGCCGTGGGGGAGGAGGAGGGGAGATCATTTTACAAGCTGATCAATCTCTAAATATGTGACGTTAAAACTCACGTAATTATTTTCATTCAGTACAACGTACAGTAAGTAGGATTCAGCGTGGAAGGCAAAGCAGAGCAGAAAATCACTTACAGCGCCATTCACTGACTCTTTTTGTTGTTGTTTTGTTCTGAGGGAGGAAGGAGACTCTGGCTCCGTGTTTCCGACATAATTTCTCAGAACAGGGTCAGATGATCTCTTTTTACACCTTTATAAATAAAAATCATACAAAAGTCCTAAAAAGGGGAAAACAGGATTTCTGCATTAATGGCCGTGCTGCTTTATTCCACAAGTCTGAGTTGATTTATGGTGAAAAGATTTTAATAAATCATTAAGATTTACTATTTTGTCCACGAGGGTCACGCTGGCATCCCTGGAGAGACCGGACCACCTGGACCGCAGGGGATCCCGGTAAGTTTACTGTCGCTTTTTCAGCACTAAAGATAAAAATAAGCTTTTAAAGATGTTAAACAAGTATCCCATCCTCTATATGAAGATGTAAGCATTGATACAGAAATCAGAAGCAGACTTAACTTAAAAAAAATCACCTAAATCTATGCATCCAAAGTTCTGATTGGGCACAAGAAGCAGCTTTAGTCGTCATAAATTATTGAGTAAGTTGTGTTTTGTAACACTGCTGTGTGCATTTCACTTTCAACTACTAATAAAGATGTACTAAAGTGTGCTCGCATCATTAAACTCACTGTTTTCATACACATGCAGGGCCCTCCTGGTCCACGAGGATCTGCAGGCATTAGAGGGCCCAAAGGTCAGAGGGTACGTGACTGAAGCCACTTCTCTCCTGTATCCATGTAGATGCTATCAAAACAGGTTGTATTTCAGTCCACAACTATAGTTCGGTTTGCATTTCAGTGATACAGCTAATATGTTGGTAAAAAAGAAAAATCTAAAAAATCTGAAGTTCTCCAGGTGTTCTGAAGGTTTTCCAAGTTTCTGCCCAGTCTTTGTTCCTGAGCCTCACAGCATGATGTGCTGTAAAAACATGAGGAAGGTTGACAAGAAGAGTGCAGAAGAAGACATGTCAGACCCTAAACATCTACTTGCAGCAGATGCCTGAATGCCAGGTGAAAGTCGGATGTTTAAGAAACGAGAGACCTGTGGGATGCATCATCCTTCAGTGGATCATCAAGTTTTCTGCTAAGAAATCTTTAGGACACCACCTCGTTGATGCTAAAATGGATCAAACTCAAGACTTTTGCACATTTATTTGTTTAAAAAACCCGACGGAAATATAATAATATAATAATGTGTTTCCATTTGAGATTCTCCAGCTGCATTTTGCATCTCTTTTCCAGTTTATTCAGATTTTTTTCTTGTGGTCATTTCAAACTCCTAACTCAGTATTCCTCGTATTAATATCCATGTGGTAATTTAGCTTTGGTTTTTAAAAACAAACATTCAGTTGACTTATGCCATCAGCAAACTGACTAGAAGTTTTAGTTTTTCTTTGAGTTTTGCATGATGCAATTCTGCTGTTCTGCACGACAGCCATTCCTGCAATTTAGCTTCATGTGTGACTTAATGCGGCACGGCTGGAAATGGATGCGATCCGAGCTAATGCATTTGGTAAATGGCTCTAGGAGGGGAAACAAGCATAACTGTGGACGGATGCAAAGTTAAAGTCTGTATTAAAAACATTTAGTCTGAATATTTTATGTAGATGTGCATATTTTTCTCTTTCCCTCATAAAAAAGCTGTATTTATGACATAATGTCCAATTTAGCCATACATTCAGATCATTCACATCCCCACTCATAAAAAAAATCTAAATTAAATTAGAAATAAGGCTGAACATTCATCTGTGTGTGCAAACATCTCAGGATAAAACAGTCTCCCAAAGAAACATCCAAGGGTTCCTCTCTGCTAAATGGTCAAATTCCAGTTATCATTAAAAATATGAAGCTGTTTTATTCATTCAGTTATTGTGTAATCCATTATTAAAACACTCCTGTAAATGTCATCAAAGGGATGGAACTTCTATAAAATTAAAACTTAGTGGCTGTTTCTCATCATGCGTACTCGTCTGAAGTTGTGTACTCGCATCCTTGTGAAACGTGAAACCATCTACGAAGTAGCAGTTCTTATTTTGGCATCCGGAGAGTAAAGACGCTTCTCTTTTCTCCTCCCTTATCATTTTCCCGAGGCTCTTGTCCTGTCTGTCTTGTCAGAATGCTTCTCTGCATTCCTCCTGAAAACTCCATTTTTATTAACTCATGGACTTGGTCAACTGGTCGTTCAACGCCATTGACACGATTTTTTTTTCTACAAGAACGGAGTGGGGGTCTCCAACTTGTCCGGATGGAATGCACCCGGTGGGGTACATTTTGGATTTCTGGAAGGAATGGAATATTATATGCCTTTCCCAGCTGTCCTTGGTGGACTTCAAAGACACATGGATTCTTGACCTGATAATACTGGATTTCTTCTTATCGGAGTGAGACAATATCTGGTGTTTTGGAAATTTGGAAGTCGGAGGAGATTGAAGTGCCACCCGTACCCATGGAATGTCTATGCTGTGTGGAGACTGCTCAGACTGAGGCGGTGCTTGAGGTGAATCACAAGCTAGAGGTCCGAGCTGCGATCCTGGTGTTAGGGCTCAAAATGGATGTGATCTTGGAGAAAGTCACTGTACGGTATGGGCAAGTTTAATACCTACTAGCTGAATTTACTGAGAGACTGAAGACCAGTTAAGAACTGTAAAGTAGAGAGGAAAATATCTCTGAAAGCCCCAAAGAAATTGTTCTTATCTGGATCTGGTGCCCTGGTTGCCTTGAGCTGCGGGAAGGAAAATCCTCAATGAAGGAACGCAGACAGATGCTGTGAAACCCCCCTACCCCCAGCTTCAGACTGGTGGTCCTAACCTGGCGAGGTCACCAATGGAAAAATCTTCACTCCCTCCATCTCCCTCTAACCTACAGTGATCGAGTGACACACTGTGGCTGCGGCTGTCTCTGGGGGACACATGTCCCACTCCGCACCTACCCACCGGAGTCTCATGTATGTGAACTGTTTGATGTTTTTGTGCTTATAAGTTGAGGTGTTTTTTTTTTTGCATAGCAAAACTACCCTTCAAGAGAGACAAAGCAACGCTGACAACAACAATGGACCGATAAACACAGAGAGACACAGGCAGGGCCAGATTATAATTGCAGGGTCCCCTGGGCACAATGTCCTCTTGTCTCCTGTTTCCTTCCTCCTCTCGTCTCCTGTTTCCTTCCTCCTCTCATCTCCTGTCTCCTTCCTCCTCTCGTCTCCTGTCTCCTTCCTCCTCTCGTCTCCTGTCTCCTTCCTCCTCTCGTCTCCTGTCTCCTTCCTCCTCTCGTCTCCTGTCTCCTTCCTCCTCTCGTCTCCTGTCTCCTTCCTCCTCTCGTTTCCTGTCTCCTTCCTCCTCTCTTTTCCTGTCTCCTCCCTCCTTTTGTCTCCTGTTTCCTTCCTCCTCTTGTCTCCTGTCTCCTTCCTCCACTTGACTCCTCGCTCCTTCCTTCTTTTTTGTCTCCTCTTGTTGGTCTCCTCTCTTGCCTTCAGAAAAACTGCTTTCTGGCCTTTCTATTAGTAAATTCTTTTACAATGTCATCAAAGTCCAGATCCCTGACAAGCTGAGATCCAATAACCATCAGTGACAGTGCACTGAGGCGCTGTTGAGTTTGTGTTGTTCTCAGTTCATTTTTTATTCTTGCCATTTGTGAAAATGATCGTTCCCCTTCACAATTTGTAACTGGTAGAGTTAGAAAAATCCACAGGGCCACAAACACAGTAGAGAAGATGGACTGTAGACTATGTTTTGTTCCGAAAAAGATCCTGGTTCTTCTTATATTACATTATCTATGAGGACTCTCTGTAGATCATTTAGAGCTGGGAGGCACAGAGCTCTGATCGTTGATGCGCTCCAAACAGATACGTCCTGAGCACGGCCACAGTAAGACTCTAAAAGTGTCGCCACCTCAAAAACAAATTTACATGCAATCGTTTATGTCGGCTCATGTCCTTTCATGCTTTCTGCCTTTTATTTGTGTCTGATGCGTTTTGCTGCTGCGGAACGGAGCGCATCACCTGTTTCGTCCTCCGGTGAATTCACCCCACCGGTGCGGTCTGTGCGCGGCACACAATCGACTATCTTTGCGTTTGGTAAACCTTTTAGAACTGCAGTTCAAAGGTAACTCATGAGGTGAATATATATGAACCCAGGTAGCAGTTTCTCTTTAGGATTGAGAGGAGATGCAGGAAGATAATAAACAGGCAGGACAGAAAAATAGTCAAATAAAAACAAGTTAGTTTTTGTACCTGCTGGTTGCAACAAACAGACACCATTGAAGGTAATCAGAAGCGAGGAACAGAAAATTAAATTATTCTTTCGTTTTTTAGATCAGCAGGAACTCCGACAGGCTGCAGGTGCATCAGAGAGTTTGAGGCCGCTGCGCGGGGGGGGGGGGGGGGGGGGGGGGGGGGTGAAGCAGGGGGAGGGGGCAGAGGGCTGAAGCAGGGGGAGGAGGGAGAGGGCTGAAGCAGGGGGAGGGGGCAGAGGGCTGGAGCAGGGGAACAGTAAAGATGCAGAAACTACCGTTGTTAAAAGAAATGTGTGTCAACTTAGAAAATGTGGGCACAATTTTAATTGTCAACTTTTTCTCCAACGTTAAGACTGTTGCATAAAAAGAAAAAAAGACTGCTGCTCGCATGGGCCCCCTTGTGGCTGTGGGCCCCTGGGCCTGTGCCCAGTTTGCCCATATTATAATCCGGCCTTGGACACAGGCAGTGTGTATACACAGACGCTGGGTGATAGGAGACGAGGGGCAGTTGGGTGGGAATTGGGCACAGGTGAAAACAATGAACTAAGGAGAAGCAGAAATAAGCAGGGAACCCCCACACGTTCCATTAAAATTAAATTAAAAAAAATTCTAATATTTATATGGGGGTGCAATCCTGGGGTTGCTATAGCACCCCCCCCCCCCCCGGCGCCGCTACTGATCAGCTGTAGTATGTGTTTACTATTAGCCCAGTGTGAAGGCAGACCTGCTGCTACGATGCAGGAAAAGTGGGAACAAAGTTCTGCTCAGTGGGGATCGGGCTTGCTGCAGGGCCAAATTGCAGATGGGAAGTTTCTTCTGAAAAGACTTCGATGGCTTCTCGGCAGCGTGGGAACAAAGATCAGAGCAAAGCATTAAACCAAAAAATTAAAAGAAAGATAAATGTTCTGTTGGTTTAACTATTGAAAGTGGAGATTTAATAGCAAAAGCGTTTTTTAACAAAACGCGTTGAAGGGCAAACTTCAAGCTTTCCTCTGTTTTTTGTATTTTTTTTTAGGGTCCAAGGGGTCCTGATGGTCCAATTGGAGAGATGGGGTCCACAGGGGTCAAGGTGAGTGTAAAGTCGAAGTTGAAAAGGGCCAACAAGTCCAAGATGTGTCCTTTCGGGCATTTGCAGGCACGTTTGGCCTCGAGTTTCCTCCCTGCAGGCAGTTCTGTAATAAAAATAAGCTTCTGGCAGGAAAACAAAAGAGAAGCCATCTTAGCTATTTTTATTAGCTGTCATTATTTTTTATTAAGATGATGGATGTCGACATTTATAAGAGCAAAGTATTAAATCAAAAAGTTTGAATTATTGATGTTGCTGGTAGCACTTGGCTTTGTAACTTGAGGGTGTTTTCACATTCAGCTGATGGGTTTTCTCTGCAGGGCTCTGATGGACCACCAGGAAAATTGGGCCTTCCTGGGCCGATGGTGAGGGAATTCCCATACTTTTATCTGCTAATAGAAATAATCCTGCCCCAAGCCTCTGTTCAGGATCCCATTTAGCAAACTAAAGGTGTTCAAGTAGTTAAACCTCTTTTGTAGTAGTTTGTGTTTTTAGCCAAGATGCTGATCAACAGCTCTTAAACGAGTTACAGCGTAGTTCATTTACTGTTTTTACAGAGTTTTGAAGCCAAGAAAGACTGAGTTAAACCTGCACATTAATGTAAAATATGTCCATTTATAGTAAACAACTGATTTCCTACCAAAAGTAAAGCATAACGATGTCAGACAGGCGACCAGAGTTTCGGTCTAAAGCCTGGTTCAGTGTCCGTTTTCAGCTGTCACACAGAACTGCTTCATGTCACACTGCAAACTCTAGAGGTGGCTCACTGTAAGGCAGAGGTGTGACCAAGTCACTGCTTTGCAAGTCACAAGTAAGTCACAAGTCTTTCCAGTCAAGTCTCAAGTCAAGTCCAAGTCAAAGACAACCAAGTCCAAGTCGAGTCCAAAGTCAATGATGTGGAAGTCCAAGTCCTTAACTTTGAATTTTCAAGTCACAGTCAAGTAAACTGTCCAACTTCTATTTAATGTCAATAATAATAAATAAATTCCAGAATTAAAGCTTCGTTTGCTCCAACAAGCAGAAACTGAAACGGATGATAAACAGCGTGCCGCTGCATTCAGCAGTAAATCAAACCCAGAACCAAGAATGGTTCCAGGTCATGTCATTTATATGCTAAAATATCAAAAATGCACAAGTCATCATCAAGTCAACAGATGCAAGTCGATTCAAGTTGCAAGTCATTGGCGTTCAAGTCCGAGTCAAGTCGTAAGTCTTTATAGATTTTATTAAGTAAAGTCAGAAGTCATTAAAATAATGACTCGAGTCCAAGTCATGTGACTCGAGTCCACACCTCTGCTATAAGGCCAAAGATTTAATCGGAGTCAAACTGCACGTCTCGCTCTAGAAGGACACGCTGATGTCACCAACAGAAGTTACCAGAAAGCACACGTCACCAAATTTGGATGGATACCCAAAACTAACGCTGAATGGAACAAAAGCACCTGCTTCTTTAATTAGTCCGTAGCCACGTGTGCATGCGCACAATTAATCGGATTGAACGCCCAATCAGATCAAAAATTCTGCATGTAAACATGTCAGTCGGAATGTTCTGACCCAATTCAACCTGATTAAAATGAAATTTCAATCCGAGTGAGTGAGATGGTTTTGTCCGATCATCATTCCGATTGACGTGCGTGTACACAGCCGTTCGGCTTGTTGGAGTAAAACAATGCCCACTGCGCTTGTGTGCAACAGCTAGCGAGCCCCCTCGCCGTCATTTAGACAGCCTGACTTAAATAAACGACGGCCTAACTAACGAGCGCAGGCTTTTGAATTCGATGGCAGGCCGTCCCCATTTCAGTAACATTTAATCCAGAACTTGCATTTTGTGGAAGTAAAATTAAAATCTGATTATTGCACAAATCATTCGACAAACATGTTCAAGTCTGTACTGCCAGTTCCAGATACTCGTGAGTCGTGACGACCCTGAGGCTATTTTGAGACTGGATTTGTTGCATTATTTGTTCGAAATTAAAGCAACTTGGCAGAGAGACTCGAAAGTCATGCAAGAAAATTGAGAACGCTTGCAAATGATTTGAGACATTTTGTAAAATCTTTGGACATTATCTCCTACATTGCACCCTAGTGAGATACCTGCTGACCGAGTCTGAATAAAACCATTTCTGAATAAAACCATTTCTATCAACTTTTCTCTGTTTTTGTTTTGGTTTCTCTGAAGGGGAATCTCGGAGAACCAGGTGCAGCTGGACCAAAAGGATTTCCAGTAAGTGACGGACCAAGAGAATTGTTGTAAATGAGACAACCTTTCATTTGGATGCCATTTACATCTGATGCTAACATCATGTTATAACTAGATCCATTATCTTTAGGGTGTTCAAGGCCTCTCAGGACCTCCAGGATCCAAAGGAGTTGCAGGAGAACCTGTGAGTTTAAATAATCTACATCTTCTCCTATTTTGTTTACTCTGAAACGTTAATTAGTATAAAATACCCAAAGTTTTCCAGGAGAGGACTACGATGTTAATGATCTGTTGCCTTCTCTGATTTTTAAAATCTGCCCTCCAGCTCTAAACTCTATGAACACAAAACACCATAATCCTATTTCTCTGCTCATGTCCAAGAGTCCTGAACAGAAAAGTAGTCAAGCTAAGACAATCTGATGTACCGTTTCCCTCCGGCAGAGCCAATTTATGGTAGTCTGAATGTGTTTCTAGAAGTGCTGGTCAGTTTTTTAGTAACACTCAGAAGCTTTGGCTCATCGTTTGAACGGATTTAGGCTCTCGGATTGATTTATCTACACAAATCTGCACTTTCTGCCTAGCACACATCTCTCTTCACATCTTTCTTCCTTACTGTCACATTCTGAGGTGTCGGTTGCTCCTAACCCTTTTATTGGTGCCTGTGGTTCGTTGCTGCAGGGACCAGCAGGGCCAGCAGGAAGGACTGGGTCAATGGGGGCGATGGGGTTGATGGTGAGTTGATCACGCATCGAAAAGCTCACAACGAGTTTGACATCAGCACAACATAATAAAGTTTGCTTTTTTCTGTAAGGGACCTTCTGGTAAATCTGGAGAGAAGGGCCTTCCCGGTGAACCTGGAGAGAAGGTGGGAAGAAATAGACCCTCTGCTACAGCCTTTGCTTCATTTGAAGCCCTCAGAGGGTGTAAAGTCTAATTTCTTGAAGAGTTTTAAGACAACATCTTTGTAATCATAGATTTGTTAATAGGTTAGTACCTTTTTTTTTTTTTTTTTTTTTTTTTACCGTGTCCTGTCTGGCTGTGAAGCAAACAGAATTGATGTCTGAATGCTGGTGACAAGCCTTACAGATTTACTCTCAGGTGGAGCATCAAAGCGTCTGCTTTTAATGTCACGCCTGATACTTAAAACTTCATTGTTATTGTTGTTGAATGCTTTGTAATTCCCACCAGACACGGTCAGAGGTGAAAGAGAAAGGAAAAGACAAAAGGTGGGGAGAGAGGGGTAAGGGGTGTGTGTGTGTGGGGGGGGGGGGGTCCACAAAAATAAACAATAATGAACAAGAGTCTGCTTCTAGACCTGCAGAAAGAGACAAGAAAAAAAAGAAAAAAAGGGAGACAACAACAATACAACAAGATTAAGCTATCACAGCGTCAACTTGATGAAGAAATATAAAATCCACATTGTTTAACTGAACAATAATAAATCACAGTGGATTTAGTGTCAACCATAGCCTTAAGACATGTGTTTAACGTGCCCAAGCCCATACTTTTGAGAGCACCATGTGAGCACCTGTGTGTGTACACGCGCTTGTTTATGTAAGGTTTCTCTATAGGAGCGTCCAATAGAGAGTGTGAGGGGCCACAGATCCGCCCCCCAAAGATGTGTGGGAGACGGGGGGGGGGGGGGGAGCTCCAAGTCCCAGAGATCAAGGAGCTGCCCAGAACACAGGAACCCCAAGGAAACTGCAACCAGAAAGGCCCCCGCCCCCCTTGAGAGGCACAGAGGATCGCCCTGGGGGGCCACAACCAGCAGCCGGCAGAGTCCCGGGAGACATCAGCGGCAAGCCCACAGGCCCACCCGCAGCCTCCCACCCCCTAGCCGGCCGAGCCCAGGAACCAGCGACCCGGGACCCAGGGGCGACCACCCCCCCGGGGACCCAGCAGAGCCCAGGGACCCAGACCCCACCAGGCAGCCACCGGGATTGATCAGGCAGACGCCAAAAATCTTAAACCCCCTGACCCGGGAGCCACAAACACTCAGGCAGACCAAGGCACCACACCCCACACCAGGTGTGGCAGGGGGAGGGGGGACGAAGATCTATATCATCAAAAGAAGTCCCAGGAGAGGGGAGGAGTCAAAGGCCCCACCTGACATATACAGTCATACACAAACACAGTCACACACTCCCTCCCTCATGCTCACACATGCACATACAACCCAAGACTTACAAAAATGCACGCCGGACACTCACTCATGCTCCCCATACACACCCTATTCACTCTGGTCCCGGTACTGCTGCACATGGGGTACAACCATCACCGGTAACCAGAGTTTGACCCTTTCTGCTGGGGTGCTGATGAGCAGGCTCCCCCGCCCAACGCTGAGCACAGCAACCCACCACCCCAGACCCCAACCGGACGGCCAGATCTCCCTCCTAGCCTCCAGCCCCAGGAAGCCAAGCAACAACAGAGGTGTGCTAAGACCCCTAGTCTCCCTCCGCCTGCTCCAATATAGTGTTGTGTGTTCATGAGGTGTATTCCATGGCTGTGGTGAGCGGGCAGTGCAGGCATGGTCTGGGCTATGCCAGCTGATGCCACAGCACCACCCCACTTGCACCCACAGCCCTCGGTGTCTAAGTGCAGTTTAAAATTGGAAGTGGGCACTGGCACTCGGGAGGAGGCTGAGAAATCCCCCTGCCAAGTGCTGTTGAATGTGCTCACTCCCAAGGCCCTAAGTGTGTGTTTGCGTGGAATGTCGTCGGTGGACGTGTTTAAGGTGCAAATAAAATTGGTGGGCAGGTTGCCACAGGAATGCGGAAATGGGGTCCATACCCGCACTCCCTGACTTGTCCACCCCCCAAGGTCCTATGTGCATGTTTGTGTGATGATGTGAGGGAGCAGGAGGAGAGAAATGTGTGGGGATGGGGAGGAATGGCTGGTTGGGCTTAGCCCTCCAGGGAGCCAGCTCCCCCACTGGCCCCAATAGGCACCTCTGTTGTCAAATTGCCACCCAGGGCATGGAGACCCCAGCCCATCCTGCCAGGGCCCAAAGCAGCAGCATTACAGAGCCTCACGGAGTCTGAGGCCACCAACCCAGCCCCACCCCAGCAGATTATCTATGCCCATCCCTGCATTTGCACAACTTCCAGAATATATAAGACATAGGACATCCAGGTAAGTTTGGGTCCTCCCCCTCCTGGACCTCCCCCTCCCCTGTGATGGGACAGCAGAGGAGGCAAGGTCTACCCGAGGCCCCTGAACCCGGGCCAGGCACTGCTGCATGTTCCTGCCTTCTCCCCGGCAGCATATATGTCAGGACCTGACCCCCAAGGCCCCGCCCAGATCCCCACACGGGGCCGGCCACCCCCACACCCCGAGCCCCCAGGCCCCCGCCCAGACCCTCCCAGGGGCAATGCAGCTGCCATGCAAGGACCTATGGCCGCCGCCAAGACCTCCCAAGGAGCCCCACTCACAACCACCAGTAGTCCACCCCCCGAGGCAACCCAAGCACCTCCAGAGGGGGGCAACGGCCCCCCAGTCCCAGACACCCCCAGTGAACCCACCTCCAGGGAACAGGTGTCAGACGACACAAACCCCATCTTGAACATCCGATGACCTGTATAGTGTACTCTGTGTAGAATTTTGTACTGAATTAATTGTAAATTGGGGTGTCTGATCATTTTAAAAGTTTTTAAACAAGTTTGGGACCAGAAGTTCTGGTCAAAGCTGACTGATAGATCCACCTCCCATTTTTCAATAGGGATTGCAATTTTATCGTCTATTTTGGACAGTGTCTTATGTACTTTAGACAGTAGTTTGGGGGGTTTGAGATTATAGAAGTCCAATACCCTTGGTGGTGTTTGTAATTCTATTTTATTGAGCTTAAATTTTTGCTTGACTGCAGATTTAATTTGGTGATATTCTAAAAAGCTATTCTTATCCATTCCAAATTGGGAGACTATTCTATTAAATGGGATGAAGTCCAATCCTTCATATATGTGTTCCAGGTATAGGATTCCTTTATTTTTCCAGTCCAGGAGGTTCATCATTTCGTTGTTTTGCAAAATGTCAGGATTATTCCAGATAGATGTGCGTTTGCATGGTACTAGTGAAGACTCTGTCATTTTAAGATACTCCCACCATGCTGTCAGAGAGGTGCTGATACTAATACTTTTGAAGCCTTCATGTTTTCTTATGCTTGAGCTAATAAATGGTAAGTCTGAAAGCTCTATCGTATTGCAAAGTGTCTGTTCTATGTCTAACCAGGACTCATCTAGTGGGTTATCTTGCAACCATCTTGGTATATATTGCAGCCTGTTGGCTAAGAAATAATAATAAAAGTTGGGTAAATCCAGTCCTCCTCTGTCTTTGGTCTTCTGAAGCGTTTTTAAGCTAATTCGTGGAGGTTTATCCTGCCAAAGGAATTTAGTAATTGAGGAGTCCAGAAATCTAAACCAGTCAGCTGGTGGTTTGTTTGGGATCATCGAGAATAAGTAATTTATTCTGGGTAAGACCATCATTTTAATTGTAGCAACTCTCCCCATGAGTGATATTGGTAAGGATCTCCATCTTGCAAGATCATCTTCCACTTTCTTTAAAAGTGGGATGTAGTTTAGTTTGGTTAGATCTGCCAACTTGGGAGAGATATTAATTCCCAGGTATGTGATATTCCCTGACTCCAATTGTGTATTAAGCAAATTGATAAAAGAGAAATTAATTGGTAGAACTGTGGATTTTAACCAGTTTATAGAGAAATCTGAAACTCTCGAAAAAGAGTTTATCAGTTCTATTGAATGGGAGAGAGAGGATTGAGAATTCCGGAGAAAGAGTAAAACATCATCTGCATAAAGACTGATCTTATGTTCTATTTTCTTACACTCTGTCCCTTTAATACCTGTTGTTTGCTGTTAGTTGCCAATTGTTGCTGCTAGTGGTTCGATAAAGATAGCAAATTGTGAGGGGGAGAGTGGGCATCCCTGCCTGGTCCCCCTCTGAAGACAGAAGCTAGCTGATATCTGGTCGTTCGTCCTGACACGTGCTGTTGGTGAACTGTATAATGTTTGTAGCCAGTTTATGAAGAAGTTCCCAAAACCAAATTTATGTAAAGTTGCAAATACGAACTTCCAGTTAACTCTATCAAAAGCCTTTTCTGCATCTAGAGATAATATACTATTTTCTGTTTCTACTGCAAGAGAAATCTATCAAATTAAGTAATCTACGTGAGTTTCTGGATGACTGTCTACCCTTGATGAAACCAGTTTGGTCAGGGTGTTTTATGAAGGGGGTTACCTTCTCTTATCTTTTTGCCAGGGCTTTACAAATTATTTTGAGATCAACATTAATAAGAGAAATTGGGCGATAGCTGGTAGGAAATGCTGGGTCTTTGTCTGGTTTTAACAAGAGACTAATATTCTTTTTGAGCAATGGAAAGAGGACTCGGCGCCGATCCAGGATTTCCTTCGGGAACTGGTCATTTACGCTGAAGTCTTTTCCTTTGAGCTCTCTTCCGTGACTTAACAAGATCCTTCTGCTTAAAATGTTCAAATTTAGCCATGACGGGGCAAGGCCTTCTGCTGTCCACTCTTTTAGCTCCAAGGCAATTTTAGAGAAAAAATAAAGTTTTCTTTATTAAATATGTTTGTTAAGCTAAAGAAAATGTTTGCTTTTCTGCTGATCAGGGTTTCGTTGGTCCACCTGGAACCCTTGGGGAGCAGGGTTTGATTGGCCAGAGAGTGAGTAAAAGTTCTCTTTCTGCACATTTGCATTTTCAATGGAAACACTATCATAGTAGCAACAGAACAAAACGGTTACATGCTGCACAACACCTTCACCTTCCTTAAGTCCTGCTTACCTGCACACAGTTGGCACTTTAAACAGTGGCAGTACATGCATGAGACCTAATGTACATATTCATTTGCTGTTTTTCTTTACGTAACAGTTGTTACCTTTGGAGGATTCATAAGTGATGGATTTGTTTCTGCAATCAAACTGATTTCCTCTACTTGTTCCTGTTAAATGCAAAGTTTTTTTTATCCATCAGGGTGAGACTGGAATGGATGGAGAGGTTGGTGCAAGTGGACCTCATGGAGCAAAGGTAAGTAGTAAAACTGAAGCCACACCCTTTGGCTGATTCCATGTTAAAGTAAATAATCTGCGAACCTGATAAATATTCTCTTCACTTTAGAAGCTCGATGCCATTGAAACAGGTTTTGTTTTATTGATTTTGTTTGAGTTGAACCTCCATCAGTTTTGCAACACTTAGCTATTTACCAGCGTAAACGTAGCAAAACGTAGCACTTCTGATGTAGATTGGGTCAATATTAGCACAGTTTTGAAAGTTCTGCAGAAATAATTGTACAATGTTAAACTGAAGGTTAAAGGTCAAACTTTATGTTAAATAGTACAAAATATAGAAGTTTGGAGGGGATTTGAGATGGTGTTTGTGTTTGTCAGTCCTCAGGGACACACAGGGGCGTGTCCAGGGTGTGGCCTGGGGTAGCACATGCCACCCTAGGAGTTTTGATTGGCCACCCCAGTAATACCATTTAAATTTACATTGTCCGCAAAAATAAAAAATAACATAACCAAAACGTGCCGTCCACGCATAAACGTCACCTAAAACATACCACTGTGAGCATTATAGTAATAGATGTTTCTCTTAACAGAGGCTGTTCAGAAAGCTATTTACAGCGGGTTGGTTGATAATTACATCTTTTAAACAGAAACACACTTCAAAAAAGTTTTAATTAAAAAATCTCTAACTTTACTAAAAACACTGATTGCTACATGAGCTCAAGTTAATGGTTCTCAATTTTTTCCCCATATGTTCCAAAGAATATATGTAATACTAAAGTAGTTCAAATTTCTAGTTTAAGGATGAAAAAGTACATGTGGGTCACCGTATTCACTCAAGTCTTTCGATGGACAAAAAGTAATTAAAGGCAGCATTGATGTTCTTGGAAAAAGGCGTTCAAGTAAACTACATTTTATTGAAAAAAAAAAAAACGACAGGTCCAACATGAGTCACAGAGTCTGATGGTGGAAGTAAGTGGTGCAGCACTGCAACAAAGCAACAGAAACGGTCGAACAAAAGACAAGTTTCCTTACATTTTCAACCTGTTGTTGGCACTTTTTCTGCCACCTATAATGTACCTATGTACCCACATAATGTTCCAGAATGCTAGTGTCGTGTATTTATGGTGAAAAATTTGCCTGTTTCACAAGCTTCCTTGGTTTATTCTTAACTTCAACATGACAGCAGCGCTACACACACACATGCACAAACACACCTGACAGCTCTGCCAGCTGCATTCACAGACAACAGGTCCGTCACCTAAATGTTTCCCAAAATGAACAGAACCAGATTCCAAACAAAATATGTAAATTAACTCCTTAAAGAGCAAATTGCAGGTTACATTTTTTTTCTAATTCATATAAAATGCTGTCCAAAAAAATCCTATTTGAAATGTTTATCGTGGATATTCAATTTTAAAATACATAACAGCAGTTTTTCTAGTAAAATGTGTTTTTTCTCAGCAAAGCTTCTAAAAAGGCTCTTTTTTCTAAACCTGAACCTCTGACGTAACCAAAGGGAGTTAGAAGCCTCCGCTCAGTGTGGAGAGTGGCTAGTTTTAGGGTAGAGAGGTCATGTGATCCAGTCAGTGTGTGTTTACTAGTGTTGGGTTGTGTTCATGTTGATAAACTCGAATGTGTGAAGGCTGTACCGACTCCAGCCTGTCTGAACATCGAGTCCACGGGTTTCCAGACAAGAGAAACAACGCCTCTATCTCCTTGCCTGAGGGCGTTTCTGCAGCTGAAAAGACGGACTTCTGTAGCCCACATCGGTCGGTACCGGGTCAGGCAGGTCCACGCTGGGCTCCGGAGACCCGTGGTGGGGTTTAAAACATGAAATGCGGATTTCTGGAGCTCAGCTCACTGTCAGAACCAGGTCAGAACCGACCACCAGAAGAGATGTGCGGCTCAGCGGGCCAATTGGTTTCTGGGTCGGAACCAGATCAGAATCGCTGCCCGGACAACCAGGAGAGGATCATGTGCAGCTTTTAAAAATACCAACTGAACTGGCTTGCTGGTGTATGGGTCGGATCCAGCTCACAGACGCCTGCATGAGCTCCAGAACCGGAAGCTCTCTCTCTAAAGCTCTAAACCGGGTTAGGTGAACGGATATTAACGAGTATGAGACCGCTGAGCTCATTAGTATTAATATTATATTAACTGACCGATACTATTTTAACTGTCTGGTGCATGATAGTAATCTGTACTATATTTTAATGTTAGCACACGAGTTTAAGCTAGCAACTCCCCCACTGCTGCTCCACGACCTCTCTGCTTTGGCCGATGGTTTCTCCCTCTGGTTGGTCTCTGCCCTCTGGGGCGAGCAGCAAACTCATAACTTTATTCTGGCCCATCATGAGTTTCCGTTTAAAGTTTCCTCCGGGTCAGAGCCGCATTAGAGTCCATGGGTTAAACTAACAGGACTCCCTCAGCTGACGTCACCTGGTTTGGCAAAAAACAAAACTTTCTCACAAAAACGACTAAAAGCCTAAATAATTTATGTTTGTGTAA